TGTTAGACGTAGCATATTACATACTACAATATATATGTTTATTAGTCATAATCTAACGTCTAAATCCAGAAATGACACGATCCTATTACATACATTTTAAATCTAAATTAAAGTAAATTAATGCAACTGCAAATGAAATTAAGCTCTAATTCTTGCCAAAATTCTCATACTATCTTAATATGCCACATTATCTTTCAGCATTATGATCACATGATATAGCAGGCATGAGGGTTCTCATCACTCAAGATCTCAAAAGACTCCAACGGCGCAGATTGCTTGGAATATAAATCAGATTGCATGTACGGTGAGGATGGCACATAGTAATATGATGGCGTAGCGCTTATGGTAGGATGTGCCGCATTGTAACTCACCACGTAACTCTGATGAGGAACACAATAAGCCGGTGGATTCTGATCATACGGGTTAGAATAAGGATGCTGAAATTGATGGCCCGGATTTGCTTGATCAATCACTTGACCGGGACCCATTTTCGCAACTTCTGATTCACTGCTTGGCGGTGCACCATTAGACCCTGCATTCGCATTTGCGTTACTACCCCCACTCTTCTTCTTTTTCTTTTTCTTCTTCTTCTTAGCACCACCTTGCCCTCCACCACCTCCGCCACCGCCGGCCTTTTGTTCCGCCGTCGGGTACCTCTCAACGACGGCAACATTCTCCGGCGCCGACCTGCCATCTTGTCTTACTTCTTTTACATCCAACGTAATAGTCTCAACCCCACCAAATCTCACACCATGTCTTTGAGGACCATTATTTCTCATATTTGCTTCGGAATTTTCAGCTGTTTTTTCATTATTTTCATCATCTTCTTCTTGTTCATCATCGTCGCTGTTTTCGTTTTGCTTCTTTTTCTTCTCTTTTACTATAGGCTTCGGCTCTGGCCATAACTCAGCACTCCTTCCATTTTTAACTAGCTTCCTTATCAAAGTCTCTGCATCAACATTTCCAGTCACTGTGACTCTTTGCTGCTGTGGATCAACATCTATTGTATAAACACCTGCAAAGTTTTGAAAAAAACACCCATAATTATTATAAGTTGTTTTCATATAACCACACGTAAGAATTCTTTTCATCCGAAAATTATACCGTACAACAAGGTAAAAATAAATTTTCTTGTATATATATAAATATTCTCGAATCCCTTTGAAATAAAAAAAAATAAAAAAAAATCATGTAGTGGCAATTAATCAAAAATTAATTAGTGGCAAGTGGTTCAAAAATACTAAATGTGACAATTTACATTTTTTTGAAACCCCTTATTAGAATCCTTGGCTCTACCATTGTTCATATACATTCTCATTATGTTCATATAAATACTCCTATACTAACAAATGGATGCTTAATTAATATATCTAACTTGAGTACATGAATACCTCATTGAGTGAATAAATAAATATGATTGTCCATTAATTATTGATCCTTTTTATTAGACATATATACAAACTAATAAGAGAGCAGAAATATAAGAGAGTTAAAAGAAGAAAACAAGATTAGAAGAGAAACCTTCGATACTTTGCAAGACTTTCTTGACTTTTCTCTTGCAGCCTGGACAGTGGATGGAAACTTTCAAAACCCATGTCTGTGAAAACAAAACAAAACAAACCAGATTAAGCCAAAAAAAAAAAAAAAAAAAAAAAAAAAAAAAAAAAAGAACAAAAGCAAAACTTTTTATCAAAAGAAATTAAACAGAATATTAAAGAGGACCGTGTAGTGAAGGGGAGGAAGCTGTGGTGGTTGTTGTTCTTCAGATGGAGGTGCAGCAGAGGGAGAGGAGGCCATAAGAAGAAGAAAGAGATCAGAGGAGCAGAGAAAGTAGTGCAGAATGCTGCAGATAGAAAATTGATCAGAAATATTGTTTGTATAAAGTATTGATAGAAAGAATTTAATTAAGAGATGAGAGTGAAAGGAAGATAGATAGTGACATAAGATGCTCCTGGGCCTGCTGCCATGCACTTAATTACTACTATATGCTTTGAATTACTACTACTTTTGGGTTACATGCAGTAATCTATACAAGAATCCCTTTGCTCTTCTTTTTTACTTTCTAACTTTTTCTATCTATTTGGGGTTTAGTTTTTTAGTTAAAAACTAAGTATATATATCTGAATATATGTAGTAAGCGTGATGACATCTGAAAAAGACAACCTTTTTTTTTAAAAAAAAAAAAGAAAAATTTGACATTTATTTACTAAGAAATAAGAAAATACAGAGTACTCGAGGGATACTAGACCATAATTTTTCTGTAAATCAAATTTGAAAAAAGATGGAATATCCTCGAATTTAACATATTAACTTTGCAAAATAGACTCTGTGATTTTCGACTCGCAACAAGTGTCAACTTTCTTATTCTAGATATATTAATCACCTTGCTATGATTTTCTGGTTGTTTTCCGCTTGAGTTGAGTTTTAAACGATTTTGATATACTGATGTTTGTTGAGCTGATTAAGAGTTTGTCTCACCTGTTTTGTTAAATTTGTTTAATTTTCTCCTCTACAATTAAATTATCTTCAACTAATTCAAGGTCAAAATGATGTCTTACTTCTTGGAACTGTCTTTCAATTTCTTCTTTTTGCCAAGCCTCTTCCTCAGAATCTTTCGTATACTTCTCCTCAAACACAATTTCATTAGCTATTTTTCCAGTTAGTAATTTCTTCGGTTCATATTTCCAGGATCTTATAAAGCCAAATATATACTAGTTTCCTCCTTTCCACACTAACTTATAATAGATCATTCAACTCTTCTTTAACATAAAAATTAGCTACGAAATCACAAAACTAATCACTGTTAAATGCATCAACAAGGCAGCGATAACTTTTCTTCTTAGCTCTAACACGTAGCAATGAAGTTAAATATAAGAAAACTTAGCTTTCAAAGGAATCATCCTATAAGGTTATAGCTCCTTTATAAATAACATCATATCATACCACCATGGGTCTAGATAAGTTTAATAAGCTTAACCAAAGACTTAAAAATCTAAAATCGGAAAAACACAAAGAGCAATGATAACATTCAGTTATATTAGGACTATTTATTACCTCTTCTTAATTTTTTTATTTAAAAAAAATCTCTAGTAGATGTTAGTTTATTTCTTATGGTTAACTTAACTAGACGCGGTGTATACACCGGGTGCGGGTCAGTTTTTTCCGGAATGAATTATGGTTGTACATCACAATTAAGGGATCACTGTTATTAGATACATACAACAATTCATTTATTAATGGTTACTAGTAAACGGACACAACTAGTTAAACTATAGTTGTAGCCTGTACGGCCAAATTTTTAAAATTTAATTATTTTGAAAAGTGATGTTTTTTTCCGATGGAGTTTCAGAAAAACTACATGTAATTGCCCACAGCTACCATAATTGGAAACCTAGAAAAGAAGGAAAGTAAACTAATACTATAACAAATTAAACTACACTAGTAGTATATAAATTATTTCTAATTATCAGTACACATAACTCGAAAATCTGTTTTGTTGTATGACAGACATTCAATTATTACCGCAGGCACTAAAAGTTTCATCAACTTTTAAATTTTTGCATAAAGTGGAATGTTCTTTCTGGATATATATTAGGATATATGCGAGCTCTCATGAGGATTGGGCCTGATGGACTGCAGCTAATGGAAAGAAGGAAAAATGACATTTTATAACTGCTATAATAGCCAAAAAATATATATAAAATTAGTATATATATATTGTATGTTATATACAAAAATTATACAAATTTTATACACTTTTTCAGTTACCACATATAAATAATTTGTGGCGCGAGCTAAAAGTGATAATACCCATAGAAAGAATCTAAAGCTCACCTATCTAAAATCACGTGTTGTTTAATGAAACAATGAAAAATCGACTAGGAGAAGCAAATTGAGAAGGATAATGCCGTCAATAAGGAACGAATCATCAAAACACTAAACCGTCCAATGTAAAGACAATTTTCAATGCTGGTTATCCAGTTGCAAAAGCGACCCATAAGCTTTCATTTTGGCGTCTCTCTAAAATTGCTTCATATGTGACTAATTGGTCAGAAGCTAAATTGAATATCCTCTTGGCCAAATAAGAGCAGGCCTGCAATTTCGGTTGAGAAGAACAACAAGAAACCTAGTGAAATCCCACAAGAAGGGTCTGGGGAGGGTAAAGTATACGCAGACCTTACTCCTACCTTATGACAATAGAGAGGTTTCCAAAAGATCCTCGGCTCAAGAGAGTGAAAATGAAGCAATGAACAAACAGTAGTGACAACATGGTAATTAGCCACGGGCGCAAATGGAGATACGTGCAATAACAAATATCTAAGAATAATAAAAATAGAGTCATGCAATTTCAGTTGAGAGCAAGAAGGATTTGCAAAGGTATTTCATATTCCCTCGGACAGAGCCTACGAAATTTTTTACTTTCTGGCTGCGAGGTAAACTAACTGATGATCAATGCACAAAAGGTTATATCTCATCCTTGAACATGGAGTTTAATCTTAAACCTCCAACACCACATAGAATCATGAAGACTTTGACAGGACTTGCAGCTCTGTTATCATGTACTTTAGGTTTTGCATCCTCAAGTAAATAGTCTTAAGTTCCAACTCAAACATCAAATTCTGATATTTCTCAAGAATGATAACCCAAACCATGGTCCCTCATTTCTAGTGCAATGAAGAAACTAGTTTAAAATGTTTACTCCCAACAACTTTCAGTGGCTTCTCAGTGACCACACAGTTGAATCTTGATCTTCAGGAGAGTAGAAAAAGAGCAGGAAGTTCAAGGGTTAACTATAAGATTGTTGGGACACTGTAATTCAAGATCTTCCTCATATGCCTCTTAATCACTCTCGGATTTAATTCTGTAAGAACGTTAGGTACCAATATGAACATCAGGCACTCGTCCAAGATGCTGTGATTACTTATTTAGGTTCTTACATACTAGTTCAAGAAGCAAGAAGACTGGAAAGCGTAAGGTTTCAGTTCTAGAAAAGCTCAAAATAAGAGAAAAGTAACATAGCTAGCCACTGGCAGGGCATGTGACCCCTCATCATAAACTATGCAAGTCAATAGCAGTAAAAGTAAACTGCTTGAATTAACAGCTAGAAAAAAGAGAAGTCATCAATCAAACCTACTTCAATGAAAGATTTGATCTCATATAGATGAAAATAGAACACTTCTTAACCTAACACACAAGCCCAGCATATCTCATCGGAGAAGATGAGTTTAGGGAAAGGATGTGCATAATTCAGTCTACTGCTCAGTATCTTTACCACTGTCCTTTGGCAATTCCTCCTGACTCTTCTCTTCATCGTTATTAGGCTTGGCATCTTCTGCCTCTTTTGTTTCTTCTGAGACATCCTGAAGCTGTAGGGAGTTCCATACAAACAAAAATTAGAATTCCTTTGCAATCTGAAGCAAAAAAAAAGGCTGTTCTCTCCGTCCATTTTTATATGGCAATCATTCCATTTTAGGTCATTCCAAATGTTTGACACCTTTCACCAACAATATTGTTATATAACTTCTTCTCAAATTTCAGGAATTCATATCCTAAACTTTGATCAAATGTTATCTCCGTGAAGCTAAACTTTTCAACTGTTACTTTAATATTACACACAAGTCAAATTGATCAGTTAAATTTACGTTATAAAATGCAAGGAAGAAGTATAATGTTATTAATGCTATCAGGCTGAGACTGAGTGGACATCAGATAATTTCCTAATTCAAAGAGTTACAACGCATAAGACAGCTCACCCCTAAGTTTCTTAAGCTGGCAGTGACATCTTCCTGCTGTTGTTGAAGAGTTGTTTTTAACTCTTGAAATTCCTGGTTCAAAAAAAAATTATAGTAATATATTAAATATTCAACTGAATCTCAAAAGATCATGAAAACATATAGACTGGAACATTGCTCACGGATCTCAGTTGGTCCACTTCAACATTCAGCGATTTCTTGAGCTCCGACAATTCCTGATTGAAAGTAAAAAAAAGAAAAACAGAAACTTCTAAATAGCTGGATAAGATTAAGAAGTACAAGGCTATCAGATGATCAAATGTTATTTGAAAGGAGCCTTCTCCCATCTGTCATACAGATCTTTGTATTCGTCAAGCACACATCACATGGAAAAAAATCCTAATCGGAACAAAAAGCTAAGAAAAATAATGATGTTCTCCCAATCTCAAGATTCTAATCAAATATATCACTTGCAAAAGAAAAGGATAAAGTTTTGGTTTGATCATTAGGAAATTTCACCAACTGGGAATATCTTATATCCTTGTACTTTGGTTATATTGCCCTTTCTCCTGGCCTGTGCTTCTCCCTTTAAAAATTTCTTGTCTCACATTGATATTCCTAGATGCAACTGCTGATCCAATCATCTCGCATTTCCAGGAAGACGCTACAGATGTTTTAGCTATCCAAGGACAAACATATTTTGAAAGCTGGCTGAAATCCATCCATTTTTAATTCTATAGTTACCTTTTCAACCAGAATTCGTTAAGATTGTCAAATGAAAGATTTACATTGATGACACTATCCTCAAATTGTATTTGCCAAAACTAGTCACCACAGCTTTTCTATTTCCAAGAAGATACATATAAAGCTTCATAGATTAGAGAACGCCAACCAATAAACAAACTATCACCGCTAACCTACTCCAAGTCATACCTCACAAGTTGCCAAAACATGCATCATCAGTACATTGCAAGTTCAAACTAGTCTGTTAAATTCATTTACAACTAATGGAAATGAAAGAAGGATGTACTTACATCACGATAGACCTTTACTTGGCCGTCCAACTTTGATCTCCAGCTTTGAAGATCCTGCACATCAAAGAAGCCACTAGTAAAATACCATTAATAGAAACAATATATGTTAGGTTTCTTGAATGAGTGTGAATGGAAAATGGAAGAGGCACCTTTTGAATTGCACCTATTCATCTCACCCTTTCATTGTCTATAAATTTAGAGGCTTAGCATCATTTTTTAGATATGGAAAATCTGAAAATTTCTCCCCTCTTTTCAACATTGTTGCATTGTTCTTCAAATAAATAAAGTGTCAGAGTGTGATTTGCTCAGTTCGTTGAGTTCGCTGAAGTTCTGTAATTTCGATTGCCTGTAATTTTCTATCCTGGAAGGAAGTAATCCATAACCTTGGGCAACAGTGAAGGGATTAAATTCCTTAAGGATACACAAGCAACTTGTGGGCTCGAAATTATTTCACGATTTATTTATTGAACTAACATTTCTTTTCTTTTTTTCTCTGATTTTTTGGTTTCGAACACAGATTACCAACAATATAAGCATAGATTTTTATAGATACTATTAATATGAGCTTACCGTTTTCAAGCTCTGAATCCTAGTGAGCAGCTCTTGCCTTGATTCTGTCAATTCCTATCCAACAAAAATAACCAAAATCCTCAATTACCAAGTTTTAACAAAAATCAATAAACAAATCCCAAAATTCTATATTAATAGAACATGAAAAAGTACCGCGATTTTAGAGCTAGCCGGTGTCACATTCTCTTTTCTCTGCCAAATAGTACAAGAAAAATCTAATTAGGTAAATACCCAATTCAGATTTCAAACTAACAAAGCAACCCCATGAGAAAAAACACCAATTTTATGCAAAATCAACAAAAAATCCTCAACCCCCCC